GACATGTAAGTACTGAGTCTCATATCTACATTGAAAATCAAATACAAGCTACCCTGGACAAAAATACCGGAGTGCAAACTGAAAACCAGAAGCATAACTGGCATGCAGGATACTGATAAACTGAGAGGAAACTTAGAGAATCAACCCGGAGAAAGGGATCAAAACTGGGTTTATCTGTCAATAAAGTTTACCGTCTCAAAGAAGGAATAAGCAGAGTGCCAGCTAAGAAACTGCGGGAAATGACCCATATGCAGAAGAAAGAAAACAACCATGGGAACTACTATGAGAGGCCCAAACCATTAAGAGTAACCTGGTAGCCATTGGGAACAGCAGTCTACGTTCTTGTACATTTATTCTGATAACCACCAGATTGCTTTAGGGAGTTTGTTTTCTTCCCCCCTTGAATTACAAGAGACTACATATGTGACTAAATTTGTGTTTGCATCTCTAGGGGAAAAAAGTAAAATAACAGGACTTGCAGAATTTGCTGAGCACCAGCAATTCTTTGAAGATGATGGCAGGTGGCAAATATTTAGCATTTTTGAGGATTAGGAGCTGCAATACAGATTTTTTTCTTTTCTCTCCGGATTTAGAAAAATCTTTGGCAGTGTCCTACCGACAGAGACCACACCTTCCAAGACAACTCAGGGAAAGAAATCCCAGAAGTTTTTTGGTTTTTTTTTAATTTCTTGTTCTGACTGTAGCATACAAGGGTAGAGGGAATGGGAAGTCTGCTATAAAGAATGCAGGGGAAAAAAAAAAAAGATTAAAAGAAATTCTGTCTTTAAAGTCTGAAAGTAGAAAAGAAAGATGGGGATCATCACCGAGAGAACTTCATACCTTACTTCTAGACACACTGATGCTGTCACTTGCTGTATACCTAGCAAAGGTAACTCACTCTTCCCTCAGGTATATCTTACTGCTTTGGAAATACGTCCCCTTCCTCCCACTCTGATTTGGTGTAAATGATTACACCTAGTTCAGGCAATGCAAATTCAGGCTCGAAGTCTGGGTAGCACCTTGCAAACAGTCTTCCTTATTGCCTCTGCGAGTAAGACTAAACTCTCATATACCAAGGCTGAGCCTTGCTCCGTCTCAACACAACCCACCGGCACAAGAAGGTAGGAGTAGAGTACTTGGGGTGCGGGTGTGACAGTGGGGACTGCATGCCTCTGCAGGGATAACACAGAGGCAAGAGGACCAAACACAGCCCAAATGCAATATCTTTATTGCCACTGCAAGGCTTCATTACACCAGCAACCTGTGGCTCAGCACGTTTCATGGGGATCCCATGGTGCCCTGATACACAGTGAGGCTGTCCCTCAGCTCTGAAACCTCACACACTCCCCCTCCTCCCCCAGTTCTCCCAGCCCCACCTGGGGAAACTTAAGGCTACTTCAGCTGCAGAAATTTGTTTTTCCTCCAGAGGGATGATCATTACATACCTAGGAAAGAGATTAAACCCCGCAAAAGACACCAAGAGCTGGAACTGTTCCCAAAGGAAGGCAAGCTGCACACCCTTCTCCCCAAGCATCCCTCCTCCACTGGCCAGATGCAAAGGGCACCTAAGCTGTGATAAGAAAGGACGACTTGCAAAAGCAAGCCAACCTGTCCTGCAGGAAAACCCAGGGGCCAGCTGACGTCCCCCTGCCCTAAGGAAGCACGGCAGGTGGCTGTCAGAGCAGGCACATCACACAGCTCTCACCAGGACTTACTGCGTTTAACCACGGCCAGCAGCTGATAGGGAGGACAGCAGGGACGAAACATCCAGACACCCAGGAGCCCATAAGAACTTGCAGCCCGCAAGCCTCTAATCATTTTTTTTTCCTCCTTTTTTTTTTTCAATTCTGAAGGCACGTGACTGGCCTTCACATACCAGAGCTGACCCCTCCCAGAGCTAGCGATTTCCTAAGAGCGGAGAAGGATGTTACCCTCCCGCTTATTCATTACAAGACTAAGTTTCCTTGCCATTACACATTAAAACCTCACACCACCTAGGGTCCTCATGTCAGTTATGCTCAGGATCCCTCCAGAGAGATGCAAATGTGCTGTGGTGCTCAGCTACCTGCTATCAGGAGGGCACGGCCATGGGGAGCACCTGCTCCTCCTTTCCTAATTGGCACACAGCTTTCAATTTCCAGGTGTAAACCATTAACTCTTTGCTCTTACATCTGCTCTCCCCTTCTGTACCGGACCGTGAAGAACTGCCAGTATTTCACACTCTGTTCCCCCATAAATTAGCGCTGGTACTTGGAAGTGTAGTCTCTCCCCACGCACTTTCCCACACATTTTTTATATCACCGAAATATATCAGGGAGCTGCTGAGGTTTTGGTTTCGGTTTTTGTTCACTTGGGTTGGCAGTGCAGTTTCTGGAAAAGACGGGTTACGCTGCTTCTTGTGCCACACCGCAATGTTGCATTGCTTTGCTCCCAAGCCCCCCGCATCCCAAATTCCCCCACTTCACTTTGCACTGGCCACCATTCACACACTGAGACCCCACACTTGCCTCCATCCCTACAGGATGGGGTCCTCCAGCTGCTCTCCTGCCTGCACCCACCCTCCAGTGACTTCCCATCACAGGGTGGGCAGAGGGAGCTGCGGGAGCCCCCGGCTTCAGGGAGAGCCGGCAGCTGCGCAGAGGGCACAGAGACCTCCGGTGGCTCTGCGATATATCGCAGGCAAGCTGCTGCCTGCGAACTCCTGCCGCTGGCTGCGGGATGCAGGGCCAGGGAGCGCTGCCTGGATCAGGCAGGGCGGTGGGCTTGCCTTCCCCACCTCGTTCTCCGGGAGAGCTGGACCACTTCAGCGGGTGCCCCTTGATGCTCTGCAGCGCCAGGCAGGCGCGACGCATGGGAAACTACAGCCCCAACGGGACCGCAGGTTGGCGGCACCATAGGAAACAAGGATTTACAGCAGAAGGCACAGAGGTGCCGCAGTGGCTACCGCACACGTATCATACACGTGGACTTCTGGTTGAAAAAACAAGTCTGGGATTGCTTCAGGCAACACAACCACGCACTCAAACTCTTACAAATAGTACCCACAGCTCAGGCAGCTATTTCTGGTTCACCTGAGCATCACAGTGACACACTGTCTTGACCCCTCTGCGAACAAATCCCATGCAGGCCCCAGCATGCACACACTGCTCCTCACCCACACACTTAACACCGTGATTCACCACTGGCTCCAACAATATAGCACACACGATCCGTCAGTCACCTGCACCCTGGTGCAATACAACATGATATTAGAATATCATGGGGGTGGTGGTGGTTAATAAGGTTATTGTCCAGAGGATTACCCTGTTGGGCACATACGTGGCTGGCTGTACTGCTGCACCTACACGCTTTATCGGCACCTACCTTAAGAGAGCGAGCCCTCAGGGCTCGTCTGTAACAGAGCCCTACAGACTACAACAGCAGAGCTTCCTAACAAACCCGCTGTTGGGGACACTTCTTTCTTCTTTTTTTATTAAGGGGGAAAAAAGAAGAATTTAAAAATCCTTAAAATTGGTTTATCACTATGGCTGCAAATTTAAACTAAAATTAACTTAATTCCTAATGAAATCCATACTAGGCAGGCACCTAATGTGTCTCTAATCATTATCTAAGCACACCTTGTCTTCGTGATAACTTCCATCTTGATGAGCTGATGTGGGCCTTACTTGACAGTACTTTTTAGATACTAGATGCTGCAACTACAGGGTAACAGAATCAGGGTCTGTATGTGCTGTTTGTCCTCCACTGCCCAGTCTCACATCACTCTCTAGTTTCAGTACAAGCAAGGAGCTGCAAGTGCCAGGACTGACCTCAGTTTCTGGCTCTGCACTGGCTGTAACAGATTAGCAGTCACTTATTGCCTACTGGCACAAAGCAGCTCAGGGTCATACAAGATTTAAACACCTTTTTTCCAGTAGGATTGATGGAAAAAACATTCTAAACTGCTAAGTCCTTCTGCCTGTTCTTCTAAGGGCAAACTGTACCTTAATCTGTAAAGTTAGCAAAACTACTTCTGCTCAAAGGACTTCTTTCACACTAGCACAAAAGGAATAAAAGAGATAAAAGACCTCCCACCACTGACTCCCAAGAAAGCTCAGACTACACTAGTCCCATCTAAGGGAATAGTCTAAGGACTCTTAGACTCATGTCCCTGGAGAATGGAGACCCAAGGCATCTTTGTCACTCACAATGTCCCTCACCCCCTCCACAGACTACTGCTTTTGCCTCGACCCCCGACTTTGCCTTTTACTCTCCCCACCCTCTCTGACAACATACCATGAGGAAAGTTTGCTCATAGAGCGAGTTTGTACAATTACACAGCATTTTCTGACCACTTAGCCTAGTTTTTGCTTCTCACATGACTCTTCTCTTAATAGGTTTTCTTATCTCTCCCTTTACCTAAACGGAAATTATTAACATTTTTGCAAAGCGCCCTCCTCTCTCAATCAGTAACTAGTGCACAAACGAAAGCAGCAGCGAACAGTCTCTAATCCCATGAATGTGGTGGGAGCAAAACCTCGTCCCAGCTGAAGTAACTGGCAAAACTCCCGCTGACAAGAGAGGAAAAGCTATGCCCAGAGGCACACCTTTAACATCCAAATCACGAACAGCATTTGGACAACTCATCTGTGTGCACAGGGTGTTATTGTTCCTAAAATTGCTGCTAACAAACTCAGGTATAACTGGAGCTGAACAAGGTTCATCTGTAACCGGTAACTAACTACTCCAGGGACAGGTCCCAGAGACATGACAACACTGGCCAGATACACAAGTACCACCTACAAAACCTTTGTAAAATAAATTTGCACTTTTCAAATGAACGGCAGGTTTGGATGGCTCACTTCTCTCCTGCAGCTCACTCTGTTACACTGGAAATTATTCTGTGTAGAAAACGTGCAGTGTTGAAAGAGGCAAAACTACACTCTGCGACAGTCCGCTGAAGTAAACAGACATCAGGGAAAAATTGGCAGGCACACAGAAAGCTCACCCACTGCTTTTACCTTTCCAAACGAGGGACTTCAGTGACATCTCCTCTGAAGAGTGTTTCACTTACATCCCTTAAGCCATTGGCGATGCCTTCACCACAGCCCTTCACCTCCCCGTCAGGGGGAAGCTGCAGGACATCTGGCTGCCCCGAGGCTGATGTCCGATCTAAAAACTGGCCGCCCTCCTTCATGCGCTGCTGGATCATGGGAGTGAGTGGCATCTCAAAGCTGAAGTAGCTATCGGGCTCCGAGTACAACGTCTCCAGCGACTCTGCGCTGTAGTATAAAGATGCATTGTCTAGGATGTTTTCGAACTGTGAGCTGTACAGATCAGTGGAGACATCGGAGTGCCTCTGCCCAAGAACATCTTCATATCCTCCCGTGGCTGCTTCCCCCTCCTCCATCATCCTGGAAATTAATCAGAAACAGCTCGTTTCAGCTTGGGGGCAAGGTTTAGACCTCTGGGTGAACCTCCTTGCCTTCCACCTTTGCAAACAGAAAGGTCAACGTGGCTTCGTGCAGGAGAGGACACTGTGGGTAAAATACTAATTTCTCCTTGCACCACCCCTGTTCATGATTGGCACCATCTCCCTCCCTGGGGATATGAAAAGAAACAATCTTCTGGGTGAAAGAGGGAAGCAGGGGCAAAGCCTAATATTGCCTAACAGATAACATCAGCTGCTTATGTGCAAAGGAGAAAAGCACTCACAAATGCATAAGGTCTCCGCTAGCACCACTGCCATGCCAGAGGCTGCAAAGGTTGAAGATGTGCACTCAGATGGGGCCTCTACCCCCAGAGGACAGTTTGCTGGCTCTGCAGTCCTAGGGCTGGGGTCTTCAGTGAAGGGCTGGAGGAAATCCCTCCAAAATGCAAAGGGAAGCAAGTGCAATTAAAAACCTGGAGCCAGGAGAACCAGATTTGAAGGGGGAAGACTCGGTCTGCTTGCGGATGCACAGGGGAAGGTGTAGCATCCCTCTAGAGAGTTTTCTTCTCTGCTGCACCAAATACTGCAGGGCTTCTCACAGCACGTGCCAGGCATCAGGGCTGCCAGCCCGAGCAATCTCACACATTAACCAAAGCAAAACTCCGCAGATCCCGAGGTGCAGAGGCAGGAGCACCTCCCTTGCTGAGATCCTGTTGTTTCAGCAGCAAACACCCTGCCAGGTCAGAGCGGGCACGGTTTGCTCAGAGCCCGCCGGTGGGACCCTTTGCTTTGTTACAGATGTGCATCAGGAAAGAAAGTGAGAAAATCGGGATGCTCTTGTAAAAAGCAGTGCAAAATTTTTGCAATATATATAGCTAAAATTACATAAACACAGATAGATAGATAGATAGATAGATAGATAGATAGATAGATAGATAGATAATATAGAAAGCACATCATGGCATTTACCCTCTTAGAATACACAAGGCCCCAGGTAAAACATCTTTATTATCCGACCTCTCAGAGATGTTCGCACCGTTCTTGCACAAACTCTGCCCGAAACCTGAAAATCTGGCCAGGCACATATGGCCAGGCCTGCATCCTGCCTATATTTAATTATATGCCATGTCCAGATCCCAACTACACCTGCTACAGATGCTTCATCACACAGCCATTACTCTGCAAACAGCAAGAGACATCTTTACATTTCCAAACCTGAGATGGACTTCAGACTTCAGCAAGGTGGTGTGGACAGGGTTCAGTCCCAACTTCACGCACTAGCCACCACCAGGCATGAGCCACTGCCACCACACTGCAGGCAGCAGACAAACATTTGTTGTTTGTCATTAGCTCCTAAAGGGGTAGGCACAAGCCACGTGCTTGGGACGAGAGAAACCCCGCCTACCCCCTGCACCCCCCCAAGCATCATCTCACCTGCCCTGGCCTCTCGCTAGTACAGCCGTCTCCTCCTTGCCACGGTTATTCTTGTCCTTCACAAAAACTTCATCCTCCCCACTTTCATCGAGCAGCGCCAGAGGAGTGGCTGCAGGGGCAGCGGGTCCCAGCCTCAGGTCCTCACAGACCTCGCTCCAAGCACTGTCTGGCAAGGAGACCAAGCCTGGGGAGACCATCAGTGGCGCAGGGTGACTGGACATTTTGGGGAATGCCTTCCTCTCCACAGACACAGTCTCCAGCAGCGAGTGCTTCTTTCTTCTTTGCTCCTCAGCTTTTTGCAGCCATAAAATCTCCACCCCTTGAAATTCTACATGTTTGCTCACAGCTGCCTCTTTAGAGAGCCTCCTCTCAGGACCCATTTGCATTTTGCCTTGACTGTACGCTGAAAACTCTTCAAAATGCGCCCACCCCTCCACTCTGCTGGTTGCTTCCAGGTTTGTCACAGATGGTCTATGACAGCTTGTCTCCTGCGCTGTGTGGACCTCCTCAGCTTTATTACTGATGGCTTGCAAGGACTCGGACTGCTTTTCTCCAGTGCATATTGCAGCCAGATCTTTCTCTACGATCAAATGCATTTTTTCCTCAGCTGTTCGTTCAGATGGAAGAGGCATGTCTGAGGGTTTTTCTTGGCCTGCTGGAACTGGTTCTCTGGCTGCCTGTACATTTTGGCTGCCAGTAACACTCTTTTTTTCCATTTGTGTCTCTGAATCAAGAGAAGTATTTGCTCTCTCTTGCACCTTTGTTGCTTCCAGCCGTCGAGAGATTTTCATAATCTCTGGCAGGTTACCCGCAGGTTGCAAACCTTCTTCTGGCGCGCGCAGCTGTGCTGCCCCAGAGTCAGATCTCGAACTGTCTGCAGGAGCTGCACGCTGAGGAAGGGGCCTGCCAGGTACCCGGTGGTGACTGTGCTGTCTTTCTGGACTGCATGTTACGGGCTCTGCCTGGCGCGGCGATGAAGCCCTCGGCGTGTCTCTGCTTGGCTCTACGGTGCCGTACTCTGGAAATTCATTGATGATGGTATGAGGGAGCAAAATGCTGCTTCCATGGCCACTACCTGCGAAGAAAAAAAGAGAGCATGGGTTTATCTACTATATGCATAAGCAAAAAGCCTGACCTCCCTTCCCAGCCCTCTCCTAACAGAGTAACTATGCTCTCCCCTGCAGGGAAAATACTGTTCGGTTTAACTCATTTCTGCACGCTCTCACACTGCAGTTATCCAGAGCTGGTCCTTCTACATAGGAGTTTTTGGGCAGCCCTACTTTGGGAGTGTGCACTGCCGAGGAAGGAATGCCAGAAATGTCTGCTACACTTCAGAAAGGGTCCCAGCGGCCCATGAACAGTCTGAGGCCACGGGCCAGGCGCAAAGGCTGAAGAAAGCAGATATTCAGAGGTCTGACATCCATCCACAGCATGCACCATACATGTTGGTTTATTTTTAAAAAATGTTTTTAGGTCATTTTCACTTGTAAAGATGAAACACTGGGAAGATAATCAGCCACACCCCATATATTCCACAGCCTTGACAAAGACAATTAGCTAAAATTACAAAGCAATTAATGAGCAGTTCAACTTTCTGCCAGCACTACCCTCTTCCTTTAACAACTCAGGTAACTGAAGATCATGTTGCAGGGATGTACGCGTACCAAGCAGTTCACATCTTCTGTTGCAGCAAATTCACCGCTGCACAAAAAGCTTGCTACCCCTCCCCTCCTCGTGCTGCTTTTCCAACTGATGTAAACAAAGCAGGGGTGAAAACGGATGGTCCCATTTTCCAAGTGCCGAGCACCCACTGGCTCCCATTGTTGTGGGGTAACAGAGAACCAGCTGTCCTCAGAGGGACCTCATGGATGACACAACGACGGACAGGCCAAGGAGGAACTGAGCTCCAGTTCTAGCAACAGCCGCATTCGCTGCACCCTTCTGCAAAAAACTGTCCTGGAGTATAAAAGCACTTTAAAATAAACAACGGTGGGGCCAGATCCAAACACCTACTCTGAAAAATGTCAGGGGTGACAGCTCTGAAACCAGACACCAACTTGCATTTGGATGCTTTGCCCTGCTCGAGGTGCATCTCTAGGTGCTGCGTTATAAACAGATTCCCATCTCCACTCTGAGCAGGCCGGCCACAAGCCATTTCTGAGGAGGAAGCCACATAGCTGTCATTAATGATAGGCTGAGTTGAAGGTGAAAGGGAGGATAATTTAACATGAGCTCAGCACCGCACTAATGTGGCTATCTATTTGCCAGTGGTTTGTAAAGATGAGCAGCAGCTCACACCTGCCAGCTCACTATCCAGTATATCTAGCCACAGGGTAAATACCACACATTGTGTGTGGTACAGGATCAAAGTGACAGACTTGGACCATGCCAAACCACAGATTCTTCCCCAGTAGATTCTCCAGGTATCTCCATGCTGTTGATTTAATCACTCCATAATAAAACTTCAGTGGGTCAGGTTTCACCTAGATGACTTGGTTGCTGTTGAGGACAGTGACTGGACAAAGCAGGGATTTTTTTCTCTGCTGCAAGGCCTCAGGGAGCTGTGAGGAGCATGGATGCCCTGTTCACCTCTGCATCACCAGCCTTTCTTCATGGCAGGGTTTCCAACACACAGATGTGGGTTCACTAGGGAGAGTCTGAAGAAGAGAGCGAGGTCCCTCTCCCCACGTGAGCGTTTCCAGGCACAGTGCTTTTTCTAAGTGCCCGAAGCCGCAGACAAACATCCCCCTTTGCACACAATTCAGCCACGCAGTGCTTGGGTGCACCCCAAGCCCACCCATTTCATGGCACAGGCACCAGGCTGCCATTGGGACACACTTCCACCAGGACAGACTCACAGATGAGAACAACGCTGTGTGGCTGCAATGTCCCTACACCTGCACCAGGACCAGCCCAAGCCAGCAAAAGGCCTCAGCTCCCCACCCCGCAGCCCTGGTCTGCTGTAATGCAGCAGCATTAGTGCTTGCTACTCTCTCAGCATGTGTCCAGAGATGGGATTTTTTAAGAGAGGAGAACTGCCGATAGGGAGCCCGTCACTATAGATGCTAACAAAACCCTTCTCAGTGGACACAGCTCCACCTACAGCAACTCTCAGCTTGCGGACCTGCAAGCGTGAGGTGTCCCAGTTGGGATTGCCTCATGTCCCCAGCACCGCGGGGCAGCGCTCGGCCATGCCACTGCCTGGCCCGCACACTCTGGCCGCATCCCAAAGGAAGGCAATGCATAGTGCCCCAGGAGCTGGGACCCCCTGCGCCTCCCTTCAACCCACGCACCCCACCTCATTGGAAGGAAGCCCAGAGCATCGCCCCCTGGCCCCCCACGGGGCTGGGGTGCAGCCAGTGTGTGCTGGAGGCCAAGCCCTGACAAGGCACCGCACAGAGACCCTGCCAAGGGGCCGGGTTCATCTCGGCTAATTGCTATCATAGCTTCTGAACCAACATGAGGGAAACAGAGGTGGCCTTATTTCTGGCGGTGAATGCTAAATGCACTGCTGCGCTTCCCCATCTGCCACCGACGGCTGCTGCTGACAGCAGTAAACAATCCCGAGCAAGTTTCTGATTTACTTCTCCTCCTGAACTTCATCCCAAGGAAACTTTACCCTCTGGCAAGCCCAGCAGACTCCAGAAGAGGTACATGTACAAAGCACATACACGCAAATATGGGCACAGAGAGACATGCAGGAGGAAGGAGCATGCACACAGGTACTCCTCTCTGCCACGCTCGCAAGCTGTGTTTCACCTGGGCGAGAGAGGAGCATTTTTGTGGTAGAAAATCAAGGCCTTTTCTAGAGTCAGGCACCAGCAGCCCTGCCCTGGAAGGACTGTTGCTGCTGCCATATGCGAGCACAAGTCAGCGGGATTCTCGCCTTCACGGCATCCTGCAGGAACATTGCCTAATTCACTGCCTAATTAAAAAAAAAATCACATATGGCACCAAAGCAGCAGTCTGTCCCCATTACGTTAGGTACCACCATGCACATGACTGCCGAGGTCTCCGTTCCTTGCGGTAAACCACCACCAATTGCCCGCCGCTCCTAAAAGGAGCAAAGTCTTTCCCTCTGCTCAGAGAGCTATTTCAGGTACCAGAGCTTAGAGGAGCCTGAGCTCTTTAAGGGAAACTCCTCCCTTATTCCCATCCACCACCACAGCATCATGTCTTGCTGCAGCTACTGGCATATCCTGTCCAGCCCCATCCCCCAATATGACTGCATTACAAACAAGGCTAGAAAGGCAACAACAAAATTTAAGGACCGCACTGAAGATGAGCAGGGAAAAAAAATACCCATCACCAAACAAACAAAGAAAGGACACACACTCTCAGGTAACACCAATTTCTACTTTGCATTGAAGGTGGCTTCTTTCAACTAAGCAAAAAAAAAGAAAAGAAAAAAAAAAAAGAATTAAACAGAGAGAGAAAAAGCTAAAATAGAAAGGGGGTGAGTGGCTAGAAAACTGAGACCGGGCAAATATAACCTAACAGCAGTTGGCAGCCTTTCTGATGACTAGACGTTGAAAGAATTCATGACTTAAATCAGGCATAGATATGATATTTCATCGGTAAATAACCATTCCATGTCAAGCAAGCTTGTCTACAGCATAATAAAAGGAAATTCTAGGAAGCAAAACACAAGTTACAAGCATAGACAGACATTTTGTTTACAGGTACATTTTACAAAAGAATGGTGTGAGGGTCTCTCTCTATACAGTATATATATATATATAAGCTAGCTCAAGAAATTAGATATATTTGCTTGAACAGTCTCCTTACTCACAGAGGTTACTGTAGCTCCAGCAGTTACCCATTGGTCAAAGAAATAAAATGCACAGATCATCAATTTATCTATAGCGATACCAGCTAATTCAATTGCTGCTGTTCTAGTCAACTGGAATCAAAATAGTTTCAAATTTCCTGGCAGCTGCTGCCCTGCACTGCACACAATGATGTAAATGGATGCTTTCTGAGTATTATGAAACTGATGGGGGAACTGCAGTCTCATTCAGTCTATCGCAGGAGCTAAGGAGTCCACCTTGGCAGCTTGCAGGGGGGAAGAAAAATTTCCTCCAGCAAGGCTGCCTGACGGTACGCCAGGGAGACGTCTGTGCTTAGCTGCCGTTTATTATAACTGCGTCCATAAGGGAGGAAACGGGCAGAATGGCGATGCTGGGAGTCGTGTGCTGGTTTCAGAGCGCGGGGCACCTGATGGCGTGTTGGCATTACCGAGCTGGAAGGTTTCACAAAGCAGCCCAGTCATCTTGCATTTTATTTCTCCGCAGCTCCTTGCGCCGACCACAAGCAGCATACGGGTGAGCCTGCATGCAGCGTCACACCAGTTATGCTTTCTTGGTACCGGCATTTCTTGCCATTATTTGTAAAAGGCAAATTAGGGCAAGTAAAAACAATGTGTGCATAAAGAGGAAACGAATCTCTAGGTGACAGAGCTTAATGAACAAATCGCAGGATTTATGGCATTATATCATTATTGCAGCCTACCAGAGAGGGGGGTCACACATGTCTCCTCGCCCTGCACTCCCTCGAGTTACAACTTCTGTGGTAACTAAAACTATTGCGATTTATAAAGCAGTGCCCGCGCAGGCCGAGATGGAGCGGCCGCCCCCTGTGAGAGGGGAGGGATGCTGCACAATCACTGGCAGCCTTGCGCAGCAGCCCTTTTCCCAAATGATGTCATCCTCCGTGCCGCGATAGGTCCTGCCTGGCTGGCGGAGGTCCTTCGTTAGCCAAAGCCGGGGGATTAGCATAATGCAAGCACCGTGCTTTTGTAACTGGACTGCAAACATCCAGGCCGGACTGGGCACAGGGTCTTCTGCAGCCTGCAGCCCCTCCAGGCTGTTGGGCAGTTTGCTTGCCTGGAGAAGTGGAGCCAGGCCTCCATTCCGGCAAAGTTACACCGGCATTATGTAAAAACAAGACGTTGGTGGAAATGGGGAAGCTGAGTGAAGGCGGGGAGGGGGAGCAGAGGGAAGAGGTAGGGGAGAATTGCCTAGAAAAAAAGTCCTGGTTAAATGCCTCTGCTGCCTTAGCAAACACGCAGGGGAG